CCTCAGCCAGCTTTGCTGGCTGAGGAATTCTGGGAGTTGAAGTCCACAAGTCTTAAAGTTGCCAAGGTTGGACACCCCTGTTCTACATCTTTCTGTTTAATTTTCAATGTCAATCTATCCATTTCTGCGCAATCCAGTCCCATGATGGCGAACCTGTGGCATGCGTGCTACAAGTGGCGCACAGAGCCATTTGTGCTGGCACGCGAGCCGCAGGCAAACTTACCTCACTGTGCATGCGTGCACCTCCCAGCTGATCTTTCGGCTGGTTTGAGGCCTTTCTCAGCCTCCCAGAGGCTTTTCAGGACAAATTCAGCAAGGCTTTTCAGGACAAATTATAGGCCCGTTTCATCACTTCCTGTAATACCAGAAGTGACAAAACGGGCCTATAATTCAACCTGAAAAGCCTTGCAAGAGGCTTTTTCCAAGCTTCTGGGAGGCTGAAAAAGGCCACCAACCAGCTGAAAAATCAACTGTGAGGCACAGTGCAGGTAAGGGGGTGGGGGGAAATTGTGCGCGCATGCACAGGGGCCGTGGGGAGATGGGCGCACATTGCATTCTGGGTGCTGGCATGTGAATGCGTGCGCTCTGACGAGCACACAATTTTTGGCACAGGAGCCCAAAAAAGATTAGCCATCACTGATCTAGTCTCTTCCTGGCTATCTCTTCATCTTCAATAGGCATAGTCCTTTAAGGGCAGGTAGTCCTCGATTTACGACTACAATTGAGCCTCAACTTTCTGTTGCTAAGAACATTTGTTTAAACGAGTTTTGCCCCATATTACGACCTTTCTTGCCACCGTCGTTAAGTGAATCCCTGCGGTTGTTAAATTATTAACCCGGTTGTTAAGTGGATCTGGCTCCCCTATTGACTTTGCTCATCAGAAGGTCACAAAAAGTTGTGACTCCAGGACACAGCAACGGTCATAAGTATGAACCAGTTGCCAAGCGTCTGATCATGGGGATGCCATCATAGTCGTAAGTGTGAACAACGGTCGTAAGTTGTAGCTTCCAACAGTCACTAAATGATCTGTTTTAAATCGAGGATTACTTGTATTCCAGACCTGAAAGCAATTTCCTGGCGTCTCTTTGATTCCTCAGTCATTGACTTTTGAGAGAATTTGGAAGACACCAAGCTGAATATGAAACATCCCAGCTGAGCTGTTAACCTTCTCCCTGAGCCAATGGGATGCTTCTATTTGCTCTTTATGGATAGATAGACCTGTCCCTTTTTTGTGACTGACCTCCTTGTTCAGAGTATTGCAGCGTAAATTCAGCACCAGAAAAAGTATAAACACAGATGGCTGAGGCTTCATTTAACTTCTTTATAAACATATAAAGTAAATTTTACAATACCAGTTGTAGATTTCTCCAATATGGGGCAAACTCAAACAGAAGCAGACATCTTACAGGTTCAGAGCAGCGCTCTAGTTTTCACCAAGCAAGCAAGCAAGTTAGTTTCTCTTTCACTTTAGCCTTCAATTCAGCTCTCCTTGGCTGACCTTGTTAGTAAGCTCTATTCCAGTTCATGAATATACTCTAACAGTTCTTGCTTTTCCCGGGAAGTAGAAGTCCTGTTTTGGAAACCCATTGGCCCCTCAGGCTCTGGAAGACGTGAAAATGGTGGTGTGGAAGAACACAACAGATGGTGTCCAGGACAATGGCCTTACGCTCAACGGTAAGCACAAGATGTCCTCTTTAAGTAGCTGGCCCTGGAAATGATATTGAAAAAAAGATGTTGTGACTCTAGAAATAGAGTGCAGAGAAGATGATGAAGGTGCTGGAGGATAAAACATGAGGAACAGTGGCAGGAATTGGGTATGCCTGGTTTAATGAAAAGGAAGAGTAAGGATGGGAGGATAGCAGTGTTCCAAATATTCCAATATTTGAGAGGCTTCCACAAAGCAGAGGGGGTCTCAACGTATTCTCCAAAGCACCTCAAGGCAGGACAAGAAGCAATGGGTAGAAACTAATCAAGGTGAGAAGCAACCTAGAACTATGGAGAAATTTCTTAACAATGAGAACAATTAATCAATGGAAAGACTTGCCTTCAGAATTTGTGGGTGCTCCAACGCTGGAGGCTTTGAAGAAGAGATTGGGAAACCATTTGTCTGACATGGTATAGGGCCGTGATGGCGAACCTAGGGCGCACGTGCCACAGGTGGCACGCAGAGCCAATTGTGCCAGCACGCAAGCCTCAGGCAAATTTACCTCACTGCGCATGTGCGCGCCTCACAGCTGATGTTTTGCCTTTTTGAGGCCTTTTTCGGCCTTCCAAAGGCTTGAGGGAAGCTTTTGCAGGCCGAAAAATAGGCCCGTTTCGTCACTTCCTGTATTTCCGGAAATACTGGAAGTGACAAAACGGGCCCATTTTTCGGCCTGCAAAGGCTGCAGAAATTTTCCTCAAGCCTCTGGGAGGCTGAAAAAGGCCTCACATGGGCCAAAAATCATCTGGGGGGCGGGGGGGTGTTGCGCATGCATGTGCAGGGGATTGCTTTCTGGGTGCTGGCACACGAGCGCGAGCAGGCACAATTTTTAGCCCAGGAGCCCAAAAGGGTTAGCCACCCCTGGTATAGGGTTTCCTGCCTGCACAGGGGGTTGGACTAGAAGACCTCTGAGGTCCCTTCCATCTCTGTTATTCTGCTCTGCTCTGTTCTATTGAGGTTGAGAAGACTCAAATCTGTCCCTATAGGGTAGCTTTGCTGCCGTTGCCTCTTCTGAACGATGCTCTTCTACCTACTGCCTTGTAACCTCTCGCCTCTTGTACCTACCCCCTTGTTTCCCACCAGGCTTCCTTTTCCTCAACACCCTCTTCATCCAGAGAGGGCGTCACGAGACTACATGGACCATCCTCCGCCGCTTTGGCTATGATGATGCCCTGGAACTGACCGATGACTATCTCTGCCCAGTGTGAGTAAGCCTGAACCCTCCTCTTAGGTTCCTGTAAAAGAGAGGCAGGGCAGGAAGAGCTGTGGTGGCGCAGTGGTGAGAGTTCAGTACTGCAGGCTACTTCTGCCGACTGCTGGCTGACTGCACTTTGTCTGTTCAAATCCCACCAGCCTTCCATCTTTCCGAGTAAAATGAGGACCCAGATTGCTGGGGGCAACAGGCTGACTCTGTAAACCGCTTTTGAGAGGGCTGTAAAGCACTGTGAAGCAGAATAAGTCTAAGTGCTATTGCTAATTCCACTTTTTCTTCTTCCCTCTTGCTATCATTGCTGTTATGCTTTTGTTATTATTGAATGAGCCACAATGACGCAGTGGTATCGCAGGAGGAAACCATTAAGAAAATATTGGAATGTGCTGAAATGAGTAGATTGACATTTGAAATTAGAGAACAAGAGGATAAACAATTTTACAAAATTTGGGACCTTTTCTATCAATGGTTAGATAATAAAATACAATATTAAAATATGTAGAATTTTAGAAAACAATGAATATATAAAAGATGTATTTCTTTATTATTATTATTATTATATCTATAAAATGTTTCTAGATATATTTGGGAAGATTATATGAATTGTTATAAAATAAGCTAAGTAAATTATAGTTATCTCGCAAAGTATGAATGAACAAAATTATAGTCAACTGATTGATTAATAATGATACTAGGGTATTCAATTTTTGATTGATAATATGAGTTATTATGTAATGTAACTGTAATTGATACAATGAAATGGATGCACAAGAAATTTGTAAACCAACCGACACACTGTTGTACACTTATGGAAGAAAGTTGGATGTTTTTATGTTTTGTTTGTTTTTGTTTGTCTTTAAAAACCAATAAAATCTACCAAAAAAAATGACGCAGTGGTGAGAGTGCAGTACTGCAGGTTACTTCTGCTGACTGCTGGCTGACTGCAATTTGGCAGTTCGAATCTCACCAGGCTCAAGGTTGACTCAGCCTCTTCCATCCTTCAGAGGTGGGTCAAATGAGGAGCCAGATTGTTGGGGGCAACAGGCTGACTCTGTAAAATCACTTAGAGAGAGGGCTGGAAAGCACTGGAAAGCGCTACGTAAGTCTTAAGTGCGATTGCTATTGCTCTTTTCTCCTTCCATCCATCCATGATGCGCAGTGGTTAGAATGCAGTATTGCAGGATGACTCGGCCCACTGCCAGGAGTTCGATCCTGATTGGCTCCAGGTGGACTCAGCCTTCTCTCCTTCCAAGGTGGGCAAAATGGGGACCCAGATTGTTGGGGGCAAGAGGCTGACTCTGTAAAACGGCTTAGAGAGGGCTGTAAAGCATGATAAAGGGGTAGATAAGTCTTAAGTGCTATTGCTAGTCCTTGACTTAACCATAGCTCATTTAATGACTGTTCAAAGTTACAACGGCACTGAAAAAAGGGACCGGTGACCGTTTTTCACAGTTACAACCTTTGCAGTATCTCCATGGTGTTGTGATCAAAATTCAGATGCTTGGCAATTGCTTCCAACTTATGACCATTGCTGTGGCCCAGGATCGTCTGATCCTCTTTTGCGACCTTCGGACAAGCAAAATCCATGGAGAAGCCAGATTCCCTTAGCAAACCGTGTTACCGATTTAACAAGTGCAGTGATTCACTTTAGGAACAGTGGCAAGAAAGGTCGTAAAATGGGGGCAAAACTCCCCTGACAAAGGTCTCACTTAACCACAGAAATGTTGGGCTCAGTTTTGTGTCTGAATTTTGATCACACAATCACGGGGAATGCTGCAGTGGTGTCAAAAACGGTCCTAAGTCATATTTGTTTCAGTGCCATCGTAACTTTGAACGGTCACTAAATGACCTATTGTTAGTCGAGGACCAGCAATAGCTCTTAGACTTATATACTGCTTTAAGGCGCTTTCCAGCCCTTTCTTGAGCAGTTTACAGAGTCAGCCTCTTGCCCCCAACAGTCTGGGTCCTCATTTTACTGACCTCAGAAGAATGGAAGGCTGAGTCAACCTTGAGCCGGTCAGGATTGAACTGCTGACAGTGGGCACAATTAGCCTGCAATGCTGCATTGTACCCACTGTGCACCATGGGAGGGAGGGAGGGAGGGAAGGAGGAAGGAAGGAAGGAAGGAAGGAAGGAAGGAAGGAAGGAAGGAAGGAAGGAAGGAAGGAAGGAAGATAGCAATAGCACTTAGACTTATATACCGCTTTATAGTGCTTTCCAGCCCTCTCTAAGCAGTTTAAAGAGTCAGCCTCTTGCCCCCAACAATCTGGATCCTCATTTTACCCACCTTGGAAGGACGGAAGGCTGCATCAACCTTGAACTTTGAACAGTCACTAAAGGAATTGTTGTAGGTCAAGGACTACCTGTATTGCATTGCAATATGTTTGTCAGTCTTGGAAGCCATATTTTACTTAGAAGCTTTGAGGGTGCCACATTGGAGTGCCTTGGAATTTGGGAAGGGGGATTTCACAGAGAGGTAGAAGATTAGACACAACAACATTCTTTCTCAGAGAGTCAAGGACATGTTGCCCTGCACCTGGAGAGGAATGTCTGGAGGAAGGTCTCCAGTTGGGACAATGGTTGATTGGACCATGTGATGGATGTCAGGATTCCAACACTTAACCCCATTTAAATCATGAGTCTCTAGCCAAACTCCAAAAGGATTTATTTGGAGTTAACATGCCCGGCACTGCCTGGGTGTAGCCAACTCTGAGACACATCATTCATTGTCACCCTTGACCCTGGTTTTCCCCCACCCCCTGGGTGTATCCTAATTCATATTCTCCAATGGGACACATCCATAGCCAAGAGTCTTCAATCATGTTCTCAAGTTAAAATTTTGCACGGCAGAAACTTCAGTCACCTAGCTACTGTCTTTGAAAACATTTATGGAATGCAAGCTGTCCACTGCTTCCCCCTCCCTTTCTGTTGGCAACTCTAAAAAGACCAGAGAACTATTTTATGAGTTGACAATGGACTGGTGGGTGCAGGGGATGAGCTTTTGATTTTTCAACTGGGAAGGGAAAACCCGGAACTCTCAAATTCGGGTTTTCCCAGATGCGCCAGTATGACTTCTCTAATAAATTCTTACTTGGATTGTTTGTTTCTGGGTGCTGAACGGAAATGGAATGCTGGCACTGTTTTTGATGTCTCAGATGGCTTATGGTTTGTAGTAGTTGGAAAATTCATCCCTCCAGATCCTACTTCAAATTCTGCTCTGGTCTCCTTCAGGATTCAAGTACCCCAGGACTGTTCCACGGAGCTCAACCACTTTGGGTACCAATTCCTGCAACGGATGTTTGAGAAACATGACAAGGTAAGCGGCGAAGAGGCAGAAACATAACGTCTTTGTTGAGGTAATTCCCCGTTAGGAGAATGAGCGCATACAGGGAGACGTATAGAGAGTAGTCTTGGAATAATACACAGATAACACTGTACAGTAAATGTAGGTTTTTACTTCCAGAAAGGTTTAAGCAAAGTCCAAAATAAGCAATCCAAAAGTCATTCACAAGTAAATCAGTCAGTTTTTCATCCAGGGATAATTCAAATATCAAAGTCCAGTGTCAAAAACAGTTCAGTATCAGACTTACATTAAAGCCAGTAATATCAGTCAATTAGAAGAAATGGAGCAACGGCAATACTTTCCAACAGAAGGAAACAGAGATAGAGTCACACTCTCTTCTGAGATTAAGACTCAAACTAAAACAACCCAGGTTTCTGGCTCCATCTTATGGCCGTTTGAGTAACCACGCCCAATTGCAGTTTTGCATTTTCTTAAAGTTACAGTTTTAAAATGTTTATCCTGGTTTATATATTTCTAACCCAAATAGCTGTTAGGTGACTCATATTCCTAACAGTCTTCATTGTGGGTCATGCACTTTTCCCCCGCATAGAGGCTGCATCAGGGTTGATCCCATATCTTGTCAGTCTGGCAAAGCGTTGATAGAGATGCCAAGGAAGGTCTTTGTGGCCAGTATCTTAAGTTCAAATGATGAGCGGTACGGAAATAAGAATTTTGGAAGAATGGAAGGAGAACAAAGGCCGTAGAAGAAATGTAAACGTCCATCCGAAAGTTCCCTTGGTTGGGAGAAGAAACAACATCAGTTTGACAGGAAAAAGGGAAGCAAAGCTGTCATGTTCCTTTGGATGCAGCGTTAAACTGGTCCTTCTCTTGAGGCCGTCTTGCCCAGAAAGAAGGAAGTAGACCTCTTTAGTTCTCTGTTGGTGGTGGTAAGCAGCACTGACCCATGGGACGATTGGCAGGAGAGACGGGCTATGAAGGCCAATTTGTGAAAATTTCTGTTCCAACCTCTTTTATCAAACTAGACATACCCAGTTTCCAGCAACCGTTCTTTTATATGTTTTAGCCTCCAGTCCCCTAATCCTCTTTGTTGCTCTTCTCTGCATTCTTTCTAGAGCAGTGGTTCCCAACCTTTTTTTCGCCCCACACCCCTAAAGAAATTTCACTCGAACCTCACACCCCCTGAAATTTAGACTTTAGGAACTACTGAACGCGTTAAATATATGGTAGGATTGAATCTTTTCAGCTATGTATGTGACGGCCACTAAATAACGATACTTAACTCTAAAATGAAAACAAAGTTAATCCATTGCATAATAAGTAAAAATGCCAACATATAGCCAATATCCTATTATTTACCTGGGCTTTTCTCGCACCCCCTGGAATATCGTCTCGCACCCCCAGGGGTTGCAAGCACCCCAGGTTGGGAACCCCTGTTGTAGAGTCTCAACATCTTTCTCCAAAATTTGACTCAAGGCAGGAAGAGGCTCCGTGCAGCTTTTGATCTGACTACTCTGGCCAAAACTATGCCAGATGTTAAGGGCAAGGGCCACAGCACCCTGATCATTTTGGTAGCTGAAGTTACCGAAGAAGGGCTGCTGTGGGCATGGTGGTCTTGTTGTCTGTAGCAAGCAAGGGAGAAGCTAAGGGCCAGGACTCATCATCCTGCAGACCTTGTAGCTGAAGTGACCGAAGAAGCGGAGGGCTTTCTCAGGCTGCTCTAGGCATGGTGGTCTTGTTGTCTGCCTCTCAGGGCCTGTTTCTTTCCTCTGGCTTGTAGGATCGTGACGGCGCCCTCTCGCCTGTCGAGCTGCAGAACTTCTTTGGTGTGTTCCCCTACATCCCCTGGGGACCTGAGCTCTACCACACGGTATGCACCACAGATAACGGCCTGCTTTCCCTGCATGGATTCCTCTGCCAGTGGACGTAAGCGCAGCCTCTCTCAGCCTCCCGTCAGACCACTTCTCCTCCCTGTCCTGGGTGGCTTGGTCCTATAACAGGTGTGCTTCTTTTTCTGTGCTTGGATTTTTTTCCTCCAGGCTGGTTGCCTACCTGGACATCCATCGCTGCTTGGAACACTTGGGCTACCTGGGGTACCCGATCTTCTCTCAGCAGGACTCTCAGATTTACGCCATCACAGGTAAATCACCTGCCGAACCCTCTCCTCTTTCTGAACTCACGTGCGGAGTTAGTTCTCCAAGTCACAGGTAGCCCTCCACTTTATGAGTTCATTTAATGACCGTTCCAAGTTACAGCGGCACTGGAAAAAAGTGACTTGTGACTGTTTTTCACCTTTACGACCGTTGCAGCATCACGAGATCAAAATTCAATGCCACTGAAAATGAAACAGAAAGAGGATGTAGAATATTATCAAACATGGAGTTTATTTTACCAATGGTGAGAAAAATGGGGTGGAGATTAAGAATGCAGATTTGTATTTTTAAGAAAACTAAATACCCTGACAACAGGGTGTTTATGAAACACTAAGAAATCTATTTAATAGAAAATCAATTTTTTAAAAAAACGATCAAAATTCAGATGCTTGGAACTATTTTATATTTATGACGGTTGCAGTTTTTCGGAGTCATTTGATCTGCTTTTGCCACCTTCTGGCAAGCAAAGTCAATGGGGAAAGCCTGACTCACTTAACAGCCATGTTACTAACTTAGCAATTGCAGTGATTCACTTAACAACAGTGGCAAGGAAGGGGCAAAATTCACTTAATGACTGTCTCGCTTAGCAACAGAAAATTTGGGCTAAATTGGGGTCTTAACTTGAACTACGTGTTCAACCATCTTATAGTGGCTGTTCAAAGTTACAAGAGCTCCGGAAAAGGTGACTTACGACTGGTCCTTGCGGTTACGACCATTCAGCAGCATTCCCACACGGTCATATGATCAGTATTTGGACACGGCAACGGAGACATATTTACGAAGGTTGCAGCGTCTCCGGGGTCAAGTGATCCCCATTTGCAACCTCCCAGCCAGCTTCCAACAAAGCCAAGTCAATGGGGGAAGCTGGATTCACTTAACGACCGTGTGGTTTGCTTAACAAACTGCAGCGATCTCGCTTCACAACCGTGGCAGAAAGGTCATAAAAATCAGACACAACTCTTTTAAACACCTCGCTTGGGCAGTCGAAATTCTGCCCCACCCTGTTGTGGTCGTAAGTTGAGAACTGCCTATAGCCGTGATGGTGAACCTATGGCACGTGTGCCACAGGTGGCACACGTGGGCATGCAAGCCACAGCCAAACTTACCTGCACTGTGCATGCATGCGCCTCCCAGCTGGTTTTCGGCCCGTTATGAGACCTTTTTCGGCCTCCCAGAGGCTCAAGGGAAGCCTCTGCAGCCTTTGGAGGCCGAAAAACAGGCCCGTTTCATCATTTCCAGTACTTCCGGTTCATCACTTCCAGTATTTGGAGGCCTGCTTTTCGGCTTCCAAAGGCTACAGAGGCTTCCCTTGAGCCTCCGGGAGTCTGAAAAAGGCCTCAAATGGGCTGAAAATCAGCTTAGAGGCGCGTGCAGTGCAGGTAAGGGGGGGGAGGTTGCGCACGCACACGCGGGGGAGGAGGACGCATTGCATTGTGAGTGTCAGCAGGCACGCGCTTTCGGTACACCACAACAAAAAGGTTCTCCATCACTGACCTATAGCATGGGGGAACTGGAGACTCAGCCACCCCTCCCAGACATGGCCTAAACCTCCAGAACGAATCCGCTGCCTGGAATTAAACTCGCCTCCTTCTTGCTTCCTGCAAAAAAAACGCTGTCAGGCTTGGAAGCCCTATTTCACTTCGAGGCTGCCACATTCGGTGTCTGGGAATTTGGGAGAGGGGATTTCATGGTGAGGTGCTTTC